TGTGTGTGTGTGTGTGTGTGTGTGTTGGTACAGACAACGAGGAATTCAGGTACTGGGTAGGTCAGAGAAAGCCTTAACATTGATTTGCTTCTGCCCGTATCGATGCCAACGCTTGACTGGTTGCACTTTAGCTGCTAGGCCCTGCAAGTCGATCAATTTCTGCTTATCTACTCAAGTGCTCATCGGCTCTCTACGCCCTCCGATCTGCTCACCAGAAGAGTCCTTTTCCATTCCCTCGACCCGCTCAACAACCGGCCTCGGTCCCGGCTCGAGGGGTCGACGTCTTTGCTCTTTCATCTCTCGTCGACGCTCGAGCCGGTCTCTCGTGGACCGCTTTGCTGTACCGTCGCCTCCACGACACTCGCTGCGGACCGTTCGAGGCGACAGGCCACACACCTGCACACCCCTCGGTTGGTACCGTCGGCCTCACCGCAACCTTTCGACTCTTTCCGGTACGGATTCGAGAAAGCAGACTTCACGAACACGCCCACAAATACAAGCCCTCAAAGTTCGCTTCTCATGCCAAGACATCCGATCATCTCAGATGCTCTCTCACCCCTGCTCAATACAGAACTGCACAGGCAATGGTGCAAGAGCCAATCTACCAAACCGAACAAAAGGGTAACCGGCTGTGGGTCCACTCACTTGTTGGTCCGAATGTTGTCGTCCAAGTCTGGCCCATCACGATTTGCTCGGCAATTGCATGTCGCAAACTGCGGTCGCCTTTTTTGCGTGTAGAAACAGCTTGTAGAGAGAGCATTTAAGCCTTATTCACCCTATTTCCTATCACCCACCGTCCGATGGGTATGACGCACGCTTTCGTTGAATTTCACACAGCCCTGCCTCACGACAGTTTTGCTCCTCCCGCATGAGTGGATGGCAGCTGCGACCTCGTCTGAACCGGTCATCTCAGCAGCCCCACCGGGACTCGAACCACGACACGCATAACACATTTCTGTGCTGAGATATTCTTAGGCAAAGTTGCATTTGCACTGAAAATCGACTGCACTACTTATTTTTGTCTAATAAGTAGCCTTTCTAGACCACCAGGAGATTATACATTTGAGAGTTATTTAACCTATTTCGCTTACAGTTGTGCAGGACTGGTAGCTAATTTAAAGGTATTCTTGAAAATCTGCTTAATAATGGAAAATAAATAAATAAAATTATTCATGATCTTGAGCAGAATAGAGGAATCTACTTATAAACTCAAAATAAGTAATATATCCGAAATCATAGCAAATGCAACTGAGTTTCACAACAATCCCACCATAAAAATGTGATATGGCAAACGACTAGGCTTTCTTGCAATTGACATCTGCCCAGTGACATTATGGCACTCTTGGCAGTCTGGCAAAGTGGCACTACCAAAGCCATAGTTCGAGTCCCGCAGGGGGTGTTGATGAAACCAGCCCAGGCGAGGTTGAAACTGTGCTCCACCATTCAAGATAACACTTTTTGTGAATGCAAGACTATGTGAAATTGAATGGAATTGTGGGAAAATTCCACGAAATAGTTTTCCATGCCTAAGGCTCAAACCACAGTCGGACTCTCAAATTTTCACACATGTTCCGGTGTGAAGTGTTTTTGTTCAATATTCAAGCCGTATGAAGTGTGAAAGCACTAAACACACGCAAAGCAATTCAAGCAATACTTCATATTACCCCTTCTTTCCTTATCTCTCTCTCTCTCTCTCCTTCATCCTATTCAATAATCATAACTAGTTCCGATTCAATTCTAGTACATTATAATGCCATGTGGACGTGTGCTCATTTAAAGGTTATGGGTGCACAAGTGTGAATTGACCGAAAATATGGCTAATACAGGACACATATGAGAATGGAAAAAAATCACAGGCTACCAGCACTTCCCATCTAAGCGTAAGATTTAGCAATAAGTAAGAGATTGGAGGGTCGGTCCAACCGAAAATGGACTTTGATTCCGATTAAACGGTTGTATACATACCGTAAATCCATACATTTTGACGAGGCATCAATTAATTTGGTTCCTTTAATCTATAAACCTATGACAGAGTATGCTTGTGTGCAGTTGTGTGCCGCATCCGAATGTTTAGGTTCTGGTGATGCATACAGCAAGCAGGCATAATTCGGTGACTCGTCGGTGTGAATATGGTTGCAATGAAGATACAGTTTTCTGATGCTGTCCGTGATTTCCGTTGGAATCGGCGTCATTTTCGGTTGATCACATGCACTTTAACTCTAAACGGAAGTGAGCTTAACATTCATACACCCACAGATTCCACCAGGCCCAACAGTTATTCCATATACAAAGATTAAGAAGCCGCTCAAAGTAGTGTGTGAAACATGGAGTGGCTTGAGTGGTCTCTTCGCATCGCTTGAGCATTGCACACACACACACAATGTCCATTTGTTTTTCATACATACCATCAGGTTTGGAAACAGTAGCTCTGAGAAAAGAACATATTTTCAGTCGGTCACCTTTTCTTTCGGTTTATGGTTGGAGTGCGGTTTTTCGCAAAGTTGGCCTTCGCATGCTGACACGTCTGTCACGACACCTTGCACGGATTCGTCAGAATCGCCCGACGGCGAGCCGAGGACGTCTTCATGCACTTCAACGGTCTACATTCCTTCATGACGATCCATTTCGGTTTTGTATCATACGAATTCGTAAACTCTCTCCAAAAGGGCCTCCTCGCTCAAAATGGGCTCAACTTCAGTTTCCACCTCGACTCATACCTTCGGGGCTTGAGTCTGGTACCCCTCAATCGAGACTGCTGATTGGGCCAAAATGTAGCTGCGCTACTTATTTTCCATAATTTACACAAAGTAAAATAATTCCGAGTTCAGTGCTTTAATCCCCTTCAACTAATTAGATTGAATAATTTCTTTTTTTTAAATCGTGG